CTAGTATTTCTTTGAAAGAATTCGCTGATAATCAGAAATTTTAAAAGAAATATTGATTACATGTGCTGCGTCGTTTATCCGTTTCTACGCTAAAAAAGTTATGTTTGGAATCTGAAGACAGCGGATGAGTTAAACATAATTATGGAGTTCGTCCCTCTGGATGGCCTCATTACAAATGCAGGGGTGGGAGGGGTAGCTACAGAAAGAAATCATTTTAGAACATATTGAATACTTTTGTAAGATTTTTAATAAGTGTAAAATCATATTTTATCGAGGGGTCAAATACATTGGTTCATAGAGATTTGATTTTGTGGTTGAAGATTTGTTCAGTAGTAATATATGTGCAAAATTGCATTTCGTGGTGCATATAAATTCGTGGATCTCTTCATACCTTGAAAACAATGAAAATAAACCCCTACGAAAATTAGTGATTCTACAGTATACATCTATCGTTTTATGCAGATTATTTTTATATGAACAATGGCATGAGGCTTATTCAACGATATTGTCTTGCAATACTACATCTTAATGACTGACATTCAAGAAGAAATATATATTATTATCTAAAAAAAAAAGGAAATACTTCCCAAATCTGAATTACAAACTTAGAAAACTTGGAAAAATTCCAAAGCTTAAAATACTGGGTATTCACTAAATTTCGTTGTTACTGCAAGGTTGTAATGAAAGAAAACGTAAAATACATTGCAGGGAACTAATTTTGTGACAGCATTAATGGTGATTTGAATGCTTCCTTTGCTTGCTAATTTGAATGCTTTCTTAATTTGCTTGTTAATCTGGATGCGTCGTTTGCTTGCTGATTTAATGCTACTTTTTCTTATGAAGTTTTATAGTTAGGACAATGCAACGGGAAGTAGATAATTGAATTTAGGCATTGCCATCAAGAGCAATTAAAGTGTCTTATATTCATTTTATTAAAAATATTTTTTATGTATAAATAATTCAAATAATATTTTCTTTGCTTTCATTTTTTACTGATAAAACCTCATTCATTCTCTGATGCTAGTAGGATAATGCTCATCTTAAGTAGGTTTATTCTAGTTTTATTCTTTGCTCGCTGAATCTGGTAATGCTTCTTTTTTAAATGCTGATCCTGATGCTAGCTAGATGCTGATGCTTATTTTGTTTATGCTGATTCTGATTTATGTATCAAATAAGTTCCCTGCACAATATTAATCATATTGAAGTTCAACTTATAAAAGTTTCATTTTATTTTGATTCCAGAAAGAAAATAATCACACCATCACACGGGATACTTTAAAATATTGATATATAAAAAGAAATGATGAAATATACCAGTTAGAGCGTCCCCTGGTTGAACAGGTTTAATTGGTAACGGCAGTTCAGCGGAAACTTCTACAACAACCAATTCTTTGGATGAACCACATAATTTCCCAACAATATTTGCACTAAATAAGAACATATATATCACAGGAAACTTTAAAATTGACACAGCTATGAGTTGAAATAAAATGTATCGGTAACAGTGCCCCCTGCTTAAACAGGTGTGGACGGTTTAGTTGGGCCTTCTACAACGACCAATTGTTTGTATTTTATGTGTATATATATCTCGATAAATCTAACTATTATTTATCAGTCATTGGTGTTAAGAATTTTTATAATTCTAATTTTTTCCACATAGGGCTTCCAGCCTCAAAATCTCTGTTCTAATAAGAGAACAGGCCTCTGTATGATCGTGTAGACATACAAACATGTAGGACATCTACTAATTTTTTTTAATAAGTAAATGATAAATTAAATATATAACTACCGTGTTACTGAGTCAAAGTAAACCAACCATTTTTTGGTGGCCGAGCAGACATGGAGTTAAATGTCAATATAAAATAAAGAGCAAATAAAGATGAGGCGAGGAAATTTGCAAATATCAACAAAGCAGAGTGGAATTTTTTCAATAATCTTGAACATAAACTATAAAGAAAATGGGCGCACTAGATGGGCAGTCGGCAGGAATCATTGACACGAAACAATTCAGATTTAAATGTCCAAGCACCATGTAGTTTCAATGCGGATCTTATTATACATCTTATAAAAACTGCATGGGAATGGATTTCTGTCTTATGTTTGTTTATTTGTAAATATTTTTTTTCAATTATAAGGTGTCAAGAAAGATAAATTATCTACTATATAGTATGCTGAATACATCAGCTGTACATTTACATGATTGTAATAGAATATACACTGTAAAAGAAGTCTAACACTAAATATTTTTTGTGCTCAGTTTTCCAATGCACTAAAATATTGAATGTAACAGAACGATCGAAGTTGCTAATTTTTTTTTTAATATATTCAACATTTTTTCATCAGGTGTTACTTTGTAGTTACAAGTTAATGTATGTTTATTTCCATTTGAGAACGTTAGCACTATACAAGACAGATAATTTATGAAACAGAATTTGATACTTTATTCAAGGAGTATTTAAAATTCAAAAATTTCAAGCTCAAAGAAAAATAAAATAAAAGAAATCACTGTATTAGAACCTTAAATACTGCTTCGATCTGGCTCGAATCCAGCGACAAACCAATTTACAATGAAGCGCATTGAAGTGGTAAAATTTGCCGTTCGAATGGAACGTTTTGAGCTATCTTTAGAACGTTTATTGTCATCTTATGACACGCCCATTTCTATAGAAATGGATAAAACGGTCAATTTGTTTATTCGAATACCTGTAGAACAGGTTTTCCATAAATATAATAGCCAATCAAATTTACCGTCTGAATAAACACTGAGTAAATGCGTGTTTGACCGAAACGTGTTTTGGTAATTTCAATAGACATAATAAGTTCAAAAATATATATTCATATTCGTTGCAATTGAGTTTTACAGAAGCGGGGAGTCTCTAAATCTTTCTTCTATTTTTTAAAGCTCCATTTCAGTGTAACTCATGTTTGTCGCCAAGAGTAGGGTGTCCTAAAATATTACGACAAATATTTCTTCTCGTTTCTAAAAATATGGGCGTGTCATTATGTTATAATTGACATTCAAAACATGACTCAGAACGTTTCACCAAAACGGAAATTTTTACCACTTCAACGCGCTTCATTGTAGCTACCGCGGAACACTATACATAGTTGGTATTTAAATCATTATTTAAGGTTTCGTCAAAGGTCAACATGTCCAAAAAATGTTTTTACAATAGCCCCAAAACTATGTGAGGTACAAAATTAAAACTTTTACAGTTTATAAACTTTTCCTTGATTAACAGAAAGAAAGTATCACTTGATAAAAAAAATACTTGGAATAAAATGAATTGAGAAAAATTCTTCTTCAAATTGCATATATTTTCAAAAAAATACACCTAATTAATTCTGTGTTCTTAGTGAAAACCATCATTGCAGAAACAAAATATGTTTATCAATGCAGGGCAAGTTGGACTTGGATATCCTCTGGAAAGTTGTTTTCCCTGTTTATTTTGTCCAAATGTTAAGGCTTGAAAGTGAAAGTACATTGCAAATGGCGATTCTATAGGGGCCTTGTCTTTATACATTTAAAAATACACTGATAACACATTCAAAATTCATGGAGAGAAGACCCAGAAAACACAAAATTAATGAAAAACGGCTATAAAAGAATCTATTTTTGCATCATTTGACTCGAACGGCTATATCCAGGTGCATATTTCAATAAAATCAAACATATTTAACTGAATATTTGCCCATTTTACATTTACCAACAACACAGTAATTAACTAGGTTTTGAAAAAAAATGTATAAATCTATGATATTTTTAGAATTTTTTTATGAGCCAGTATTCCTGCCGAATCGCCATCTAAAGCGCCCACTTTCTTTAATATAAATTAAAATGAGAACGGATTTGGGGGTAAATACGCATTTGGAAGGCGTGTATGTGTATTAAAATTTAGATTAAAATAATTTAGTTTTTCTATATAGTTTTTATTTAGCTTGAAATATCTTTAAAAAATTAATGTTTACTCCGATTAAAAATTTTTGATTTTAGATACTGTTTCAAAATTAGCAATAATACTGTACAAAGTTATAAGCATACAGGAATACTAACCTTGGCATTAAACATAATAAATGGCAAAAGGATAAGTACATGTACATACATTGTTTGAATATCAACAGATTATTTGAATTCGTGTGTGCAGATATATGAACAAAAATTTTAATTTAAAAAAATGACCAGGTAGGAGTTAAGCTAAATTGAATTTAGGTTTGTGCTATAGCATAATTGTAATTTTAAAAGATGCCAAAAGGCCAAAAGATGTCGGCTAAAATGCCAGTAATTTGTATGGGAACTCTCATTAGGTGTTATTCCCTAACTCCAAGCAGGTTTGTCATGTTTGTTTCGGTGATGAATTGGCCATTCATTCAAGCACGACAAACCTGTCCTCGCCATTTCCGGTAGATATGTTTATTTGCTAGAGTTACAAAAAACTGCATGTATATAAGTAAACTATCGTATCTGGCACTAAATTAATTACGCTTGGCTAAGGTACTTATCTTTAGACTTGTATCTTTTTAAAGATATTCTGTGAAATACATCATGGCGACTTGACTGGGCCCTCCGTAGACATGACGTCATTTTTATGACGTACTCGAAAGCAATACAATATTTGAAATTCTGACAAGATACTTATATATAATTTACGGAACATCGAACTAAAATATGCATCATTAACCATGAATTAAAGAAATTATTTATTGTATGCATTTGTTTTTTTAAACTTAAAAATGTTAGGTGATCACTTAGGATTTTGGTTCAGTGTATTCTTTTCCCAGACTAACTTAGATCGGAAACATGAGGATCGGGATATTTTATGATAGCTGTGTTTTTCATCACATTTTCTGAATTTTTGTCTTTTACTTATATATGACCCCCGATGACATTAACTCCATAATTTGGTAAAGAGATCGTACAGTTAGTAGCATTAAAAATCGTATCCCAGTCTCTCATTTCTTTTTCCGTATTCAATTGATTGAAACTGTATGCAAATATAAAATTCAATGTTCTGATATTTTATTTATTATAAAATCTGAATTACAAGCATGATAAAAAAAATAAATTCATTTTCAATCAAAAAAATATATTTACAATGAAGTAAACAGCCTTTCTAATTTTAAACAAAAGAACTGTACATGTATCGATATACACTAAACGCATTTATGATTTATGTTGGAATGTTATAGGTTGGAAAAATTAATTTAAAGAATGAGAGACAAACATATAGCATATTTGCAATTCCAACAGTTAGTGATCATTTAATCAAACAGAAATTATGCTGATCCCTTACGAATACGATTTGTAATCTAAGGATTTTTTAAGATTAATTAAAAATATTTCAGATGGCCCTTATCCATAAAAAATATGAACAACAACATCGGCAACAACAGGAATATTTGTACTGACAACTTGAAATGGACAAAAAAATATAAAAGTATGGCATTGCATGAGAATATACTTCATAAAAAATTATGGCGTGATCTCATAGTTTGTAGGACTAATGTTCAGGGAATTTACAATTCTCTTGTTAAGGAACCAGCAGGAATCACCGGATGACGATGTCTTCTGAACGGCTTTTAACTTTAGTGTAGGTCTTCCACGTCGTCTGCATTTAACTTTCGCCATTAATTTTCCTTTTCTTGAAAATTGTCTGACTATCTTGCATTTCATATTGACAAAGTGACCTACATAATAAAATAAAAACAAAGTGACCTATATAATAAAATAAAAACAATGCTGCTTTAAAGACTTTCCCTTTATACCGCTTACTAGAATTATACTTTATACCATTTAAAAGAATGAAACTTCAAACTGTTTTAAAGAATTTCCCACTGCTTACTGTATATATAAACAATACAAAAACTTAAAGTTTAATGAAAAGAAACTAGTTGCACAAGTTGCCAATGTAAACCCACAGATACCGTTATTGAAATTTATCAACAATAATGTAAACTCACACAGTAATTATAGAGCTTTTTAAAATAAGTGTATTGAATATTAAAATATCAACATACTGAGAATCCCGTCATACTGTTTCCGTTGGCGGCCGTGCATTTCCGCCTTTAATCTGAGTCCGTGTTGATCCTTTTCGACGTCCAATTTTATTCCATCCATGTCGCATTGCAAACTTGTAATATTTTTAATTACATCAACATTGATCGTTTCCTGTATTCTTTTTCCTTTGAACTTTTCTACCTTCATGCTGGCAAACGTTTTGAGGGCCCTGTTTTGTTTGCTGGCAGTATTTGCAAGTATGGTGCAACCTTTATGAGAAAAATAAATCATATTTTATTTTGCTGGTTGTAGATTAGTAAAATGTGAATCATTCAAGACAAAATCTAATACCGCTATGTACGCCTATAGTAATAATATTTCATTTACCAGTAAAACCAAGATGTATTATTATAAAAGGCATAAATGAATACATGAAAGGCTTTGATAAAGGCTTAATTTTTCAAATTTACCACTTACCATTATTTTGTTTTGCCATCTTGATTATGTTGTAGGCCCTTGACTTTTTCAACGATAAATCAAAGCAGATGTTCACCTTGGATATTTGAACAATGAAGGATGGCAATGTCTGACCCTTCACTGCTGGGCTTGGCGTACTTACTGTAAAAACCCCGCTCCTTTTAAGAAGTTTGAATCAGAAAACAGACAAAATATATACAAATAAGCAAGATGACTAATTTAAGAACGAAGATAATTAGATAAATGTACATTTCATTTTTTAAACAAATATATTAATTGACTAATTTGTAAAATTAATTTGTTATTATTTCTAAAATTTATAAGCTTAATCTTTAGAAGGTCATTATTTTCACACTAAATTGCGGGAATTTTTTCCTATTTGCCCGATTATGATAAAGAGCAGACAGACAACATTAGATGCTTACTTCTCCAAATGGTAACTCATCCCACCATAAACGTTTTTAAGAGGTCAGAGTTTTTTCTGCTTTTAATTTGTTATGTTTGAATTAAATTATTTTGAACTGTTTTACTGTTTGCCAGCTCCATATTTCATTACAGGTTCATATACAGATTACATTTTCAAAAGAAATATTTGACAGTACATGTAGTTGTAAAAATTAAAAATTAAATATTAACAAGATAAAGGCAAATGTAAGTTACCAAAAATTTTATATTTCTCTCTAGTATTTTGTTAAATGTTCCAGAAGTTACCGTATAACTGGATTTTTCTACGGGGTGCTATTCAATCGCAAAAAATACGTAAATAAAATTTTCAGTTGCTATCATCGAAGTTCTATTTTCACAGATACCGGAAGTACATGTAAATAAATCCATTGCACGTTTTCAATCGTATTTTACAGGTAATTTACTTGATATCAACAACAATGATTGTTTTTCGAATAAATAAAACGAATTCCTTAAGATTCAATATTTATTTGTTCCTACATTGTATTTCATGATTTATTTATTTATATGAAACTCGAATAGCAATTGTCGGTTTGGCTATTCCGCGGCTTGATCGGGTCCTGCACCAGTGTTTACCAGATTTTTCTTAATCGGTATTCTGTCCTTGAGAAAAGAATTTCTTGTGTAATATTTCCCATACTGAGATTATATAAACTCTTTATAATCATAAATGAAAGTTCATAGTCTATGGGAACTTTCTGAAACGAACATCTATAAATTAATTTCAAAGAATTATCGACTCGGTTTCAATTCAAAATACTTGTGACTTTGTTTCTAATTTACCCTGTGAATAATAACCCATTAATTATAACAACACACGGACGACCCACAGGTGTAGTGTCATCTATGTAAACACCCTATAAATTAACAGCCCAAGGCCTTCACTGTTTCCAGGTAAGTCCAGACTGCATCTATTTTACGCTTGATTGGCGTGTATACAAGCGCCATCAAAACTTCGAGAGATAGAGAGTGAAATTCAATGAAATGTGTAACGGGACCCAGGTTTTGGTTCGAGAAATAGAAGTTCTAGAGATCAGGAGTAAAATTGTTTAGTTATATAGAGAAAAAAAAAACGGGACCGGGGGTTCACTTCAAGAGATCGAGAACTTCCCGAAATCGGAGTTCAAGCCATCGAGAGTCACCTGTATTTTAAATTGCTTTGGTTTGTTCAATAAAAAATAAAAATAGACTTTATTGTTTAAATGTCTAGTAATGAAATTCAATAAAAATAGACTTTATTGTCAAAGTAAAATCGCAAAAATTAAAATCGCAAAAAATAAATATACCTATTTCAGGATTAAATCGCAAAAATTTGCACCCGCATTAAAAACCAGTTATACGGTACTTAGTATCGCTTATATTTAATTAAATAAAATAAAATTAAATAAAATAAAATTCTACCGTCTTGTCACCAAACAGGACATCTCAAAATGCCAAAAATTAACGATTTTTCCTGTTTTTATAGAGTACTACAAAATATGAAATTATAAAAAAAATAATGGAGATATTCTCAAATTTGTATGTTTTAAATTCTAAGAGGGTATGTTCATTACTTTTTCTTTAATGAAGGATAAGGAGATAACGAACAGTATTCAATATCAAAGTTCCTAAAACAATACAAAAAGGGCAGAGCAAACACAGGCCCCCGAAACATCAGAGGTGGGATCAGGTGCCATGGAGGAGTGAGCATCTCCTGCCGACCGGTCACACCCGCCGTGCTATTTGTCATGATGAGGAAATAACGGAAAAAAATCCGTCGTCAATTCAATTCAGTGTATAAATAATGGACTAACAATTGGTATGAAAAACGTCAGTCAGCATTTGAATAAATGGTAAATTGTATTTGCCGACAAGGTCATTGTATCGACCATAGAACTTACGAAATGATGACTTTAATCGAGACTGTTGATATTCTTGTTTCATCAACTTGTTTGTCAATAATTTACCTCGTTTTAAAAATTGTTCATACGTAGAGCATGCTCTTGCGTATCGAATCAACTAAGATATATATACTCCGTTTGCAGGTGATGAACTTCAAGGTATATTGCTGCATAAGTAAGGGAAGTTGACGATAGAAAAGTTAAAGACATCACGTTTATCATACAGCTTAATTTTTGGATTACAATTAGTGCCTTTTTCAAGTATAATATCCAAGTATGAAACAGAAGTGTCGGACTCTGTGGTATCTTTTATCTCAAGCTCACCAGGATATATCGAATCGATATAGAAATGGAAAATACCATTATTAATGTACAATACGTCGTCGATATATCTCAATGTCGAGTTGAAGGCCACAGCAAGTGTTTTCCTCTTTTCACGCATACGATTTTGCATAAAATCTGCTTTATATGAATATAAAAATAAGTCTGCTAATAACGGAACGCAATTTGTACCCATGGTAATTCCAATAGATTGTTGGAATATCTGGTTAACTTCAGAGTACTTATTGTGTAATCAGAATCTATTTTAACAAAATAATTTTACAAATGACGAGGTAAGTAAATTTATGAGTTCCAATTTTATTGAAGAAGCAGCTGTCAATGATATCAAAAAGCCTGGATTTTAATTTGTCGTGGGGAATTGTTGTGTATAAAGTTGAAAAGTCATAAGTTTTTAAGCTGTTGATTTTTGTAAAGTCTTGTGATTTCAAATTGTCCAAAAGTTCTTTAGAATTTTTTAGTATCCACATCTGATCCACACCACTTCTTGAATATATAGTGTTGCACAATAATCTTGACGTTTTTCCTTCACTACCGTCAATATCCTAGTAAGGAGTACAAAATGAGGCTTGGTTGAACATTTACTGGAACCCGCAATGTATCTTTGTTTGTAAGGATTTTTATGAAGTTTCGGAATCCAATATATATGAGGTAGCTCAAATTCATTTTGGCTCTGTGGAATATTAAAAGTATTCAAAACTGACAGGTGATTATGAAGAATTTCTTCCTTAGAAAGGGAATTTTGAGTATAAGTAGGATTATCACTTGTAGAATTAAATCCAAGTTCTTCTAGACTGCAATTAATATAATGAGCCTTACAAATGATACTTTTATTACCCCTTTAAAAGTCAATTATCATAACGTCAAAAACACACTGTAACGACATCAACCTACCTATGAATTGCAAAATCGGTTAAAAAATAAGTTATATAAAATTGTATTTATAAAAATTTGTTAAATTTCATTGATAAAAAGAAAAATTTGCTTTAAAACAGTAAGTACGCTTCATTTTACTATGATGCGCGAAACATTGCGCAATGAAAACCACATTCGGCCCCCTTAAAATTTCTTTTCCTGAGTAATCTATACAGTTTTGGTTACAGAGTATATATCTGTATTTTAAGGATTGCAAATAACGATTTAAACAATTCAAATTTTGATGTTGTAAAGTTATACTTGCAGATTTTTTGGATGGTTTTTCATATAAATTGTAAATATTTATCCAAGCGTCAAACTAAGTGCTCAAATTTTCATGTCTTAACTTATTATCGCCATAATAAAATAATTAGTTTTCATTATTGATACACATTTATTTTAAAATCATTTCATTCATCTGACAAAAAGTTCAGTCATGAATATATGCTGCCTTTAGATTACTCATCAATATTGTACATAGGTAATTTCCGAGTGAAGTTTACCTTTTGTATTTTTTTAGAATAACAATTTAATCATAAAAATTCTTAAACGTTAGACTTCTCTTACATTCCATGCAGTCCTTTGTCAGAAGAGGAAAGATCGAATGACACTTAAAACTAAACAGAAAACTGCTCTTTATACCGTATAAATCTCTTGTGCTTTGAAAGCTAAGACACCATGCCCCTTTAGAAATACAAAACATTTAAATATTTTTATTTTCAAATATGTTTTTGTAGCATTTGAAAAAAGTATGGAATTGAACCAACATACATTGAGTTACCAAAGAAAGAGGTGAATGGGTAGTGGTAGTTGTAGATTTATCTTTCAGGGGATGAATTTTTCTTCTCCTAGCCATAGTTGAACCATATGATGTTTGAAAAGTGAAATTACCTAAATTGATATAAAAGAAAAAAAATCAGGTAATCGTAAATAAAATTGAAATAACATACTGAATTTTCATACTTCAAATGTACCTTGGAATCAATCATGTTCAAGAAGACCAATTCGTGGATTGCTTAAATTTTAAAGATTGTGGGATCGAAAATTGTGTATTCATCTATACTAAAACGAAAGAAAACATAACTTTGCAGCCCTAGTTCATGACTTTGGCGAGGATGGTCATTCCTGACTTAGGAGACATATGTTAAAGAAAAATCATGACCCCTTGAAATCTCTTGATTCCTTATTATTACATTTACGTACCAAACAGACCCGAAGACTTCAAATATCATTAATATTATTATTATCGCCGTCATAAAATAATTAGTTTTCATTATTGATACACTTTTTTAAAACTCATTTCATTCATCTGACAAAAAGTTGAACTTCAGTCAGGAATTTATGCTGCCTTTAGATTACTCATCAATATTGTACACAGACAATTTCCGAGTGAAGTTTACCTTTTGTATTTTTTTAAGAATAACAATTTAATCATAAACTTTCTTAAACGTTAGATTTCTCCTACAGTCCAGTCCTTTGTCCAAAGAGGAAAGCTCGACTGACACTTAAAACTAAACAGAAAACTGCTCTTTATACCGTATAAATCTCTTGTGCTTTGAAAGCTAAGACACCATGCCCCTTTAGAAATACAAAACATTTTAATAGTTTTATTTTCAAATATGTTTTTGTAGTATTTGAAAAAAGTATGGAATTGAACCAACATACCTTGAGTTACCGATGAAAGAGGTGAACGGGCAGTGGTAGTTGTAGATTTGTCTTTCAGGGGATTAAATTTTCTTCTCCTAGCCATAGTTGAACCATATGATGTTTGAAAAGGGAAATTACCTAAATAGATAAAAAAAATCAGGTGATCGTAAATGTAATTGAAATAACATACTGAATTTTCATACTTCAAATGTATTTTAAAATTAATCATGATCACTAAGACTAATTTCGTGGATTGCTTTAAAGGTTGTGGGATTGAAAATTGTGTATTCATCTATACTCTAACAAAAGAAAACATAACGTTGTGTATGTAGCCCTAGTTCATGACTTCGGAGAGAATGGTCATTCCTGGATAAGGAGACCAAAGTTCCAAGAAAATTATGACCCCATGAAATCTTTTGACTCCTTATTATTACATGTACGTACCAAACAGAAACGGGGACTTAAAATATCTCACAGATAAAGGATGCATGCCAAACATAGCTCCACCATTGCTGTATATCCGTGATGGTAATATCAGCAAAGACTCGCCTGTTTGTTAAACAATACAAAATTTGTACAGCCAAATGTGTCATTCATCTACACATAAATGAAACCAATTATTTGTTGAATAGATTTATACATAACTTTATGATTGTGAAATATGATAACGTAGCCAAAGTTCTCAAATATTTCACAGCACTATTTTCAGAAAAAAAAACAACTGTACATCAAGCATACACCTGATCAGCAGGATGTAATTACAAATACATGTATAATGTTGAATTTTGTTATGTATTTAAAATGCAATTATATTTAATTTAGTATACATATCGCAATATTTCCGGTACCAACATGTTGGATTTTGAACTTAAAGCTATTGCGAGCAAAAATGTTTAGTTTGGTTCTTTTTGCAATAGACATCAATGACTGAGCAGGAACACACACAAATAACTGGGCAGTTGGTTTCTTCAAAAACGAAATATTAATTTTAGAATATATGAATATTATGATTATTAACCAGAGAAATACGATGTATAATTTTATAATAATTAATTTTAACCTACTTTGCGGAACGTTGTCTGTGTTGACACTCTGCAGGATAGGTTTAGAATCGTCTGGAAGGGTCACGACCATTGACGTCAAAGGGGTAACAAATTGATACTGTTTTAAAAAAAATAACAAATTCAAAAAAATTTGAAAATTAAATAGTACTCAAAGTGTTTGTTTCTCCCAGTTCTAATTGTCTTCTGTAGTATGAAAAAAATATTTCTAAAAATATCTAATTAATTTACCTTCAGAGACATGTCCAAAATTTTCTTTTCGATGTTTTTAATTTCGTCTTCGTCATCAAGACCATCTTTAGTTCGAAGTAGCTGTTTAATTGTGAGATAAGCCCATAGATTTTCCATCATGTTTGGATGTTTTGGTTGAGGTTTCGGCGAAGGGGCGGGTCTAATTGGAGGAAATGGTCGCGGCGGCGGTAGAATACAAATAGATGGTCTTCGAAGCGCGACCTTCTCGCTGTTGACTCCTCTAGCATAAATATCAACGCCATCTTGCAATTTTGTCATATCTTCTATCTTTCCTGAGACAACGAGTTCCGAGCCCTTGAAATATGTGTTGAAATCAGTTTGAGTCACTGTAGACTCATTTAATGTACCATCAATATATTTGAAAGATATGTTTCTCATTAGAACAACTGAAATTTCTTGGTAAAACCCTGCAATTTGAAGAGCGGCATCCGAATCTTCGTATATTCTTTTACCAAGACCGTCATTCTGGGCGGCAACTTTCTTGGTAAAATCAAAGTCTGCACTTTGACCAAAAGCAAGGCTGAAAATTGGAATGTCAACTTCGTTAAACTTTCGGATATTTTCAAGAATTTTGTTTGTGTTGGTGACTCCGGAAGTGGGTTGTCCGTCTGTGAGGAAAACCAGGACCGGGGCTCGGGATTCCTGAGTATTTTGTGAAAGCAGATTTAACCCTTCTGTCATCGCCAAGTTGATGTCTGTTTCTTTAATTCATCAAATAGAAATAAAAATGATATTAATAATTTATAAACGTAAGAGAGGAGAGGACTTATTTAAAAGATCTAGAATAGTTCTTTTAGATTCTTTTCAAACGAATAAATTTTTCCACACAGAAATTGCTCATTACAAATCTTCTTCTGTGGACGCTTCGTGTTTTATATATAACAATTTAAGCTAGATATAGTGCATTTGTGCTGAAACTTAACTTATGATTTTATCCATACATTTCCCAAAATAACAGAAAAAATATAAAGAATAATAATCTTCAAAAAATGTTCCCTATAAATTTTTTATTTCTGTCATTAAAACAGCTGATAAGATTAATTGCCAAAAAATGCTATCATCAGACAAAGTTAAAACTAGTTCTTATAGGTTTTTACGTGTAAAAACATTGTGCACTCACGTCCCACCGCGCCGGTGTTCTGAATGAATTGTTTGGCATCTACGATGTTATCGGTTGTCGCTTGAGCTAGTTCCCGGCGCCAAAACTTCAACTTATTATCGAAGGCTATTAATATAAATCGATCGTTTTCGCTTATTTCGTCTAGGATTTTAAACATGGATTGCCGGAGTTGTTTGATTTTAGTTCCGCTCATGGATCCGCTCCTGTCTAAGATGAAAACAATGTCCATGGGCATAGGATCCAGGCCATCCGGCGCCAGAAAATGAACAAAGTAACCATCCATTACCTGAAGGAAAAAGCCAAAAAATTATTGGTTCAATTTCATTTCAAATTTATTTCCTAGGGTAGCACTGAAACTTGTACAATTTTGATCTACGTAAGGAGGTGTAAATTTTACATTTACCTTAACGAAAAAAATTCAAAATTTACAACATGAAACATGTATATGGAAAAGTTACTGACTTAAGAATTTTCTAAAAGCCTGTTACTTGATTATAATCGCAGCTAATTTTATTCATTTGTTTTTTTTGTCAACACCCTGTTTTCTCATTTTAATCTTGAATCAATTCTTTTATTATAATTGACAAGTCTCAAATCAAGTTCTGATTCTAACAGACCTTTAATATTATTTCACTATACAAAACGTAAAGGGATATATAATCACGTTAACTGTTAATGTTTTTGAGCTTTTTTATTTTTAATAAACTGGTTTTAAATCAAGTGGTTTTTGCAATGTTTCGACCTTAATTTGGCTAATTACCATAACTTCTCCAGAATTTTTCTCTCTCTCAACGTCATATTGGACGACGAATTGCCCAGAAATCCCTTGTTTAGACAAAATCTCTTGTTGTGACTTTGTCAGCGAGTAGGAAATTTTCACTTGAGTTGGAGAGAGGTGTACAATTTCTGCGTCTTTATTTTTCCCTATCAAAACCAATTGCAAGCTCATAAAAAATGTCAAGTGCCAAATTTAATTTCCAAGTATTTAGGTATATATTATATGTGACAACCTTAAGTGGTACGTAAACAAGTTTAGTGTGTGAAAAAAGTCTTGTTGAGGCAAACTTTGAAAGACAACTTTCCCTCCAGACATGCATCAATTTAAAAATAAAGGTATCCTAACCATTTTTAGTATAATTTTTATCAATTTTGCCTCAAAGAAAAATATTATCAAGTGACATTATACATGTATTAAATCATATTTGCAACACTTTAACTTCTGACAATTCTGAAACACATGCCTGACAGGCATACAGTGTGGTGCAATCTAGCTACATTGTATTTCAATTTGTTTATGAAACCAAAGAACAGATAGGTCATATTCATACCAAACCAGATACATTAACATGCATTTATGACTTGATAATTGATTAACAAGAGTATTATGTTTCATTGAAATGGGTAGGGTTTTTTTCTTTAAACAGGGATTTTTTTTTTCTTGAACATGCTCCAAAAATTCCAACGTCGATATTTTGGTAAAATTGATTGAAAATTAAAGATATACATGTTTATCAAATAAATATCTCAGAAAATGAACGTAAAGTATGGAAATAAATAAATAATTTGACTGTCACTAATTTTCCTGGACGTTGATTTTGTGGTTTTCAAGGGACCCCACGAAATGCAATTTCTTACATATATTACTACTGATCAATTCTTCATCCACGAAATCAATTCTTATGAAATACTATAGTTTCTTCAATCCACGAAAATTTGACCCTTTAAAGTATGTGATTTTACAGTAATTCAAAAGTTTCTTTTATAGGGGAAATTTTCTCTGTTTAAAAGAATTGTATGTTAATCTCCGTTAACATTCAAACTATTCAAAAACATTAAAATTCCATTACCTTCCGTGTCATCTGTCAAGACATCGTTACGTAAAGGTGGAACATGAACTGACGTTATATTCCTATACTCCTCAATAGAAACATCGACCCTGAAATCGTCTATAATTTGTCCAGGATTTATGTAAATTAACTGCTCGTATTTTCCAGTTCTTCTTCGTAAAAGTTCCCGATAAGTTAACTCGAACGTCACCTTTTCAGCGGCAGCAACGTTTATTTGAATCTGGAATTTATTGGAATCTCTTGGTCTGAAAAGGTAAATGAAAGATACAGAAGAAATAATATTGTACATTTTGGAACTTTAAACATCGAAGAAGTTTATTAACACTTTTATCTAAAAGAAGTAAAAAATGTGAAATAATTATAATTCTTTATGACTCAGCAAAGGATTAGCATCTGTTCACTTATCAAAGAAAATGTGTATAAAAGAGGCATCGAATATCAAAGCTATCTATTTCGTCTCAGTGTTTGGATAAAAGAAACTTACTTTGCAACTATATGTCCAGCACTTTGACCACGTGACCTGGCTGCGTCATATTCCTGTTTGGCCTGTTCTTTTTCCTTGACTTCCCCTTTATATTCGGTTCCATTAATTATCCTAATCAAAAATTTTGAAGAAGTGCTAATTTTTTCAAAATGTCGGTATTCCTTTATACTGTGGGGTAGTTTACATACCGGGGTATTGCACTAAAATTGCACAAAATATCATAAAATATTTTCTAAACAAATTATTCAGAGATTTGACCGGAAGTCTTACATTTTAAAGGATGTCATGAAAGCCTCATTTGGAAGAGTGACGTCAAAGACAGTTTCAGATGCCTCTGTCCCCGGATTGACAACTTTACTTGTGATGACTGTTCTTGAGAATCGATATTTTATTTCTGAGTTAACATGAAGAAAATAGATTCGAGGCTTTTGTACAGTGTTCTGAAGAAGAAAAATCGATAGTATTAAAAACATCAATTTTAATATGTATCAAAACTGACGACGTTATATACCATGTGTAATGTACAGTAGTTTGAATTCATTTCTAAACAAGCGTTAGCTAGAATTGTGAGCACAAAGTTTTACAAAGTTTACCTTTTCGGCTACTTCTTGGCCAAACGCAACAAAGCCGATCATCAACAATATCCCGATTCTGACCCTCTCGTCCATCTTAATTCCTGTAATGTTCTTCCCCTGAATCCAAGTGATTATTTTTACCCGAAGCTAAGTTTGTTAGAATTTGTTGATGCTGCGTGGTTGATAAACACTGACCTGAAAATCTGGGTGCGGATTAGCCGTTTATAGTGTAGACGTCATGGATCTTTACAGAATATCACCTCGTCTTTGAACATTGTGCAGATTAATTAGCACTTTTGCAAAAAGGAGAAGGGAAGTTCCCAAAGAATAAGGCTTTTGAACGCCCCCACTGAGTACGAATTCTGCGAAAATATCTGACAAGTTAAGAAAGAATTCAAGGTCATTAGATTATAATCTGGGTCAAGTGAGTAGTGGTGAATAAGTTTTTTCTCATCTACTTGATTGTATGCATGTACTTTAGACATACTGGATTACATAATAAATTTGCAACATGTATAAGATAAATACAAAAATAAACACTTTTGCAATTAACAGATTAAGAAAGTTGGTGGGGTAAAGTAGTTTTAACAGTAATTCATAACCGGAGTACAGTAGAATTATACTTCACACTGTGTACGTAAATTTCAATTTTCACTGAGATATAAACATTTTTCAATCATCGGTCTCTCGCTCTTTTTAATTCCAACTAGCCCCTCCAAACCCACCCCCCCCCTCTCTCTCTCTCTGCAATTATCTTTAAAAATTGAAGTTTTTATAATGATTAACCGACAAAATAAATTGAAGCGAAATAAAATGCGACCGAGGGCATTCAAAATACAAAAAGAACGGCTATAGTTAATTAGGGACAGAAAGGTCAAAACCAAGTCAGACAAAATACAACAAAATACAAGGCTAAAGGGGATATATTTGAAATACTTAATAGGGAATTCCCAAAACGTTTCTCCGTCTGCAGTGTTTCAACATGTTGTTACTTTTTACTCCAAAAGTGTATGAAAATTATATTGTATGGCTTGTTCTGTCTATATGGTTAGTGAACCGCATATACTTACAGTCAACACTTATTACAATGATGAAGAATAGAATTTGAAAAAAAAACTCTTGTATAAAACATTTCTACGTATGTAAAATGTTCATCCCTCCTTTAATAAATTCCGATAAAATCTGTCATCTGAAGGGAGTGTAAGACTTAAAAAACGGCCATATGAATATATGAATATGAAAAGGAAAACGCTCAATAGTGTATTCATTCTTTAAATTGTAACACTTCATTAAAACAGTTCGTGTACATTGATCTTTTTATTAATTGTCTAAAGACAAAACAAACAAATCAATCAATTGGTAAAGAGCATGTTTATCGAAAATTAATCTGCAGATAAAATATGAATTTTTTGTTTATACGAAGCTTATAGAAATTAGATTTGAACATTTATCATTATAAATATTACTTGACATAAAATGTTTCTAAGATCTACTTCATGATATTATTTAGCTAAAGCAAGGTTAACATGCTTTTCCTTTCCTTTCGGAAAACTTAGAATTTCTTTTATACAAGAGTTTTTGTTTAGAATTTTACTGCTTGATTCTGTGAAAATTTCATTAATTTTTGAATTAAAGTAATATGAGAAGAATCCTACCTTAAATACAGCATTATAAGTGATACCTATTTGCTCAAATGCATCGCAAAATTTTCACAGAATCAAGAAGACAATACTTACTACATGTTAGTGATGGTATCAGTGAGATTTAATGTGACCGTTTCATATTAGAGGCAAGGTCAGGTCAAGGTCTATACCTTTTTCTTGGGCATTAATAATAAAAAAAGAAATACTGTTGCCAATCATGCATGCAATCCCTACTGGTTTTCAAAATATTGAATGTTTTTCTTTTTGCATAAAAAGATACTACCATAAAGGGCCTATAAGACGATATTTAATTTACCAAAGTGACTTAAATAATGGAACTAAAATGGGTATAAATATATGACTTATAAGCAAATGTACTTTGAATATTTTATCTAGTCAGAAACCAAAGAAGAACCCTACATGTACCTTAAGTGAGTTCATCAAAGTCTTATTTCTGATAGCAGCCAGGGAGAAAAGATCTAGAGAATAGGAGGGAAATTTCCTTTAAGACTGAGGGTGAAATACTCGTGTTATTAAGGGTAAGTTTGGTGTAATGTTCCTTAATTTTTCATTTTTTTTTTATTTTGAGCCATCTTTAAAATAATGTTTGTTTTCCCTCTCCCGACGTAGGGTTAAAATCGGTCGATAGGAAAGTTTTAATATGATAATAGCAGTAGAAATAAAGTGAAAAAAATATTCCCTAAAAAAAAATTTAAAATTCGGACATTTTAGCTTGTCGTTTGGTGGGGGGGGGGGGGGGGGACAAACCAAGAATTAAATTTTTCTTTGGCCTGGAAATAACATGTTTTTCAAGCTCAAAGATCCTTTTACACAATACAAATGAGAAGCAGGGAAAACACGGTGCTCTAACACATCCTATGTGGGATCAAGTGCTATGGAGGATTTTGCATCCCCTGCCAAACATTGTACCTGTCCTGTGCTCCTTGTCATGATCGAAAAATGAAGAAAATACAGACAATTCAGTGTGTAGATAATGGCCTAACATTATATTTTCTCACAAGGTCATTGCGACAAAGAGCGTGCAAAATAATGACTTTATGTCCTTGTTTAATAAACTTGTTTGTCAATAACTTACCTCGTCTTAGAAATTGTTAGTATGATGAAACTGCACTTTCTTATTAAAGCAACGAAGATATATAAACTGCTTCTGCAAGTGATAAAGGATTATCAAGTAAGATAAGTTAAAGATTGAAAAGTTAAAGTCATCACGTTTATCAAACAGCCTTGGATTTAGATTACCATTAATATCATTTTCTAGTAACATGTATTAATATCAAACAGATGTGCCAAACTTTGTGGTAACATTTATTTCAATCTCACTGGAATAAAACGTGTCAACATACGAATGGAAAAACCTATTTTGATTAGCTATAGATGATAATACGCCGTCGATATCTTTAAATGTAGACCTTCATACCACACTTATGTTTTATTATTCTCATGTATACCATTTTGAATAAAGTCTGCTTTACATGAATAAAAAGAAGCATGCTTATGATTGGGCAAAATTAATACCCCTAGCTTTCTTACAGACTTCTGGAAGATCAGGCCTCAAGATCATAATCTGAGAACAGTCTCTTCTTTGATTTTGAATATCTTGTATTTTACATATGTTCTCGAAATTACGCAGTTACGTATCATATTGAATTTCCAACAAATAATAGTTTCATTATCAATTGTTTTTTCAAAAGTTATATTGATTTGAAATTTTGACTTAAGTCTATTCTCAGTTTATGGTCATGGGGCCTGGCCCCAGGATCATGAAACGTCTAAGCTTAAGTCAAAATTGCCATGGTGTACTAAAAACTTGTAGAAGTCAAGTACATGTATACCGAAGTTTTTAAAAAATTCTCAATCTTGGTCTACAAACGTGTTCTTATAATAATCCAATGACAAATAAAGATTTTGTAGTTGATTAAAAATTGACACAAGTTTGGTGCATGATCAACTTCACTAATATTGAGTAACAATGTTTTTTAATGACAACTTCAGAGTAGAGTACATATTTTTTTAAACAAATTAATTTTCTTATGACCAATGACAATCTAAGAAGATTTATGAATTCCGTTTTATTAAAAAAAATACCTGACAATAGTTTTAAAAAATCCTGAACCTTAATGCATGTATGTGGTGTACTTATATATGTATGTTTTTGATTTAATTACGTTCTTCGATTTCCGTCTTCAGATCTAGCTATTTATAAAAAGACAAAAGGACAAAGTTTTTTTTGTAGGAAAAATCGTCTTGAAAAAAATCTTCTTCTCAAGAAAGCAAAGTTAAAATTAGTCATATTATTATAGAATCATCGTCAGGTAATGTGGATTCAAATTTGTTAGTTAAGATCTATAGAGAATGGCTTGGGCCTCAAAAAGGCGCCTGAGTTTTGCATTACAATACATAGGAAGAAATCTATATATTCTGCTTATATTAAGAACAACAAGTCTCTGATAAGTAATATTATTATATAGGCATCCCGAAGAAGTGCTCCCCTTCACGGTATACATTTTAATGATTAAGTGTTTTCTTTCTTTTTGCATGCCAATGTGCTCAGGTGAGCAATATTACCCAAGGACCTCTTGGGTCAATTTTGAAGATCTCGAAGGGTGTGAGAGCCATTGTGGTGTATTACAAAGTAACTGCAGTATGCAAGAAGTTGGTTTTTCAATATTTTCTGTTTTCATCGCGCCATAAATTTATTTTCGCTCGACGTTTAAACAGGAATACATGAACTCCAAACTTCACAGATACGAATTTGAATTAGTATGTAAATATATTGTCAGAAGGTTGTTATCCTACTGCTGACTAAAGTTATCAACACTTCTGTGCAGCACATTTATTGTACTGTCAGGCAATGAGAATACACTTTTAAAAAAACTTAACCTCGACCATAACTATTAAAAAGATAATAGTAGCGTCTTCATATTTCACACATTTATTTCATTCGGCAAGACGTTTCTTTGAATACCAAAAAAAATTGCCTATTGATCATGGAATCTGACCTACTTTTGAAAAACTATAGTCTATCTATTATGCTCGAATAGTAGGTGTTCGGGTTTGAACATTTTATATATGTTTTACATTTTTTGAGTACCTAAAGTATGCATGGCCATTTGACATTGACTTCCGAGTTTGACTCACATTAAAAAACAAGAACTGTTTGTCTATCACTGATGCCCCCGCAGGACAGCTTATGACATTTTCCTAAGGTAAAAGTAAAAAAAAAAACTGTTGTTACCCAAAGGACTTTTTTCCACAATGAACACGCCTATTAAATTTGAAAGTCATACTTCTGATGTTCAAAATAAATGCTAAGTTTAAAGTTTTTTAAAGAGTTGGTCAAACTCTAAGGACAAGGTCAAAAAGTCAAACATATCTATCCCCACTGAAAGGTCTTGTCATAATGAATACACGTGTGAAGTATGAAAGCCATAGCAACAATTGTTCAAAATTTATGACCAAAGTTAAAGTGTTATTTTTTAGTAAAAGTGAGTGAAATTCCGAGGTCAAGAATCAAGAAGTCAAATTTGGTGGTACTAGAAGAAAAGTCACATGGAATACATCTATGAAATATAAAAGTCATATCCCCACCCCCTCAAAGGTTATGCGCAAGGTTAAGGTTCTTGCAGACAAGCATACAGACAAACACACAGACAGCCTTCTACATGTAACTAGTCGGACGGACAGGGCGAATACTATTTACCCCCGAATGTTGGAGTACGCCGGCATAAAAAAAATCTTTTCAATGTCAGAACATATGAACGTTTTGCGTTTAGGCTTTCTTTGTTCACATGTATATTCATTGAGACACGTCCTTTCTTTGAAAAGCAACATTTCTGATCTCTCGACTTTTGAGTTTGACTTGCGGGTGAGCAACTTTATAACTTCGTCATACTTGCACACAGTTTTTCACGAACAAATCTTGCTGATCTGCTTATCTTGATTTTGAAATGACGAAGGTATGTGTCATGGATGCCTACATATAGTGTCGAACAACGACAATGACAATGTTTTATTTCCGCTGGTATATTCAAAGTCAGCGACATTACACTTTTTGTCGCCAGCAAAAATGTATAACTCAACATAAATACGGTGGTTTATTTCTTAAATGAATTCATCTGGCAATGGTTATTGCTCCCCCTTATTTCAAAATATAATGATCAATGCAACAATGGTAACTTCAATGTTACAATGATAGAATGATCCAATAAAATAAATCAACTAATAAAATTTTCACTCCACTATAAATGTGAGTTTAAACTATGGCGAAGTAAATCAATATTGTACCATAGTTAGGTTTGATTTCTTTTGTTATAAGTGTGGGTTTTCTGTACATAACCCACACTTTTCTATAACTCCGCCCATCGAGTCGGGACAAAAGAACTATTTATAAAACGATCATGCACGGTTTTTAAATGAAACAATCATATGGGCTTGTTATACCAAATTTAGGAGAGTAAAAAGGAGTAAAAATTTTCAATTGTATACAGCATTTTGTAATAAATAACAGTTAAAAACGGCCATTAATACTTTACATACTTTAGTTAAAAGTGAAGAAAAAACTTCAGAAATCGCTTGATTTTTTTAAACATTTTTTTAAATAGTGTAATGACCAGGGTGACGTTAGCTAAGTAGATTCTAATATATTGTTCTTTTGATAACCAACAAAGGAAACACGGTACATACTTGACGTAAAAGCAAGTGTACACTACTGTACTTGAATAACATTTTCGATTGCGGATCTAATTTTCATTAAAATGAAATATACATAACCCCTAACAAACATTTGAATCAACGTACCACTGTGCACGGCAAAGTTTATATCAGGCTTACAAAAATTTAAGTTAAACCAAGTTCATAATAAATTTAAATTACTAGTATGTAATTTTGACGACTGAAATTTACGAGAAAAAAGAATCATATCAAATTAACATATATCATTGAAACCAAACTCGTTATTTTTTTAATTACATAAATCAAACTTTTTAAACGGGCCTAGATATGTTTATTTTTTATGTCACTTGCGCGGCCCAGTGGTTAAAGCACCTGCCCTAGAGCCCCGAAATAAGGAGTTGAATCCCACTGTGGGACGTGAAGACCTATAAAGTGTAAACAGAGGTACCGTGTCGCAGAAGGTGTTGACAGGAAGATCCCTCACTGTTCAATGACCCTGAGTGCCGAGTATAGGGCAAAATTTGTAGCAAATTTTGGAAAGTATTGTATACAAATCACTTACCCTATGCTCTGAAGGACACGAAGAAGCTTAAAATCATATAAAATCCAAATGCATCTTTGAAACACTTAATGTTTCAATCACACGAACCAGTCCGACCGATTCCTAAGCTGACTTACATGTGAATGATTTTTGAAAACTATGGTACAAGTCATTTACCCCATATCACACTGTTGATTATGTGTAGATACCCGATGGGCGTGGTCATAATGACACGAGGGAGCGTATGGTACAAGTCATTTACCCCATATCACACTGTTGATTATGTGTAGATACCCGCGATGGGCGTGGTCATAATGACAACTCGGGAGCTACGCTCCCTCGTGTCATAATGACCACGCCCATCGGGTATCTACAAATAACCAACAGTATGATATGGGGTAACTACTACAAATTTAGTTTTATGTACATGTACAACCAAATGACAAGAAGAACCGGGCTTTTTGCACTTGCGTAAAAAAATGAAGAAACCCACTTTGCAATCAAAACTTGATTACATTTTTAAATAAATTCAATAAGTTTCATTTGATACCAAAATTTTTAAATTGTATGAAAACAAAAAACTCATAATTTAATCGACATTCACTTTATTTTAAGAGACAGACCAAGGATTTTGGTAAGTTTACAATAATATATACATATATATGCGATCTAATTTATTTTAACTAATTAAGGTATAATGAAACTGTCGACGTTTATGCCGAGCGATGCTGTATTTAAGTCCTTGATGAACCAACATTTTTCATTGGTTTTGGAATTGTATATGACCTGGCTTGCTGTTGCTGACTCGAGGGAAGCACGTGGTCCGTTGCTAATGGAGATTGTTGCGGTATCTCCATTTTTAGTAATAGTGAATTGTAGTTTACTAAGCTCAGCTGAAAGAACAAAATGGGAATTAGTACAGTACTAAAAGAAATCTTATAGCAAACGATTACAATGAATTGACCTTGCAATAAAGTGATCAAAATATCTTGTACTTAAAGGATATGATAAATTATCTTTATAAAGAAGCTTGCATTATATCTAGGCTATCTTAACTTTCTTCAAATGAATCGACATGACAATTTTTTCGTACGGCGTATGTTTTCTTTTAGATAGAGAGAAAGAGAAAGAGAGAGACAGTTAAAATACATACTTAGCAATCCGTTTTGAGTCCACTTTGTGGGTATTTCAACAAAATAGGTGACGACCCCTTCAGCATTACCGTAGACTGTGACGTCTACACCTCTTCCTTGTTTGAATGTTTTACCATCGTTTTTCTTTACAGTAACCAACGTCCTAGGCCTGCCCCACTTCATCTTTCGGTCAACCTTAACTTCATCCACTGAATTTTGACCCATTTTTGCAGTAAATATATACGCTATTTAAAAAGAAAAAGAAATTAAATTTATATAGATATAAAGATATACTTTTAAACGTTAGCATTTCTTTGAAAAAATTCTCTGATAATCAGAAATTTTGAAAGAAATATTGATTACATGTGCTGCGTCGTTTATCCGTTTCTACGTCCAAAAAGTTATATTTGGAATTTGAAGACAGCGGAAGATTAAAACATATGGAGTCCGTCCCTCTGGATGGCCTCATTACAAATGCAGGGGTGGGAGAGGTAGCTACGGAACAGAAAGAAATCATTTTAAACCATATTGAATACCTTTGTAAAGTTAATATACATCTGTCGTTTAATTCAAATTATTTTTTATATGAATAATGGCACGAGGCTAATTAAATGATATTGTCTTGGAGACTATATCTGAAATAAATGTACTAACAATCAAGAAAAAAACATGTGTATATTTAAAAAAGGAAATTGTTCCCATATCTGAACTACAAACTTAGAAAATTATTTTTTCAGAGCTTAAAATACTGGGTATTAACTAAAGTACGTTGGTACTTCAAGCTTGTCATCAAGTATATACCGGGGTGTAACGTAAAATCATATGTAGTGATTTAACCTATAAACCTTTTCTTTTATTTTGATTCTAAAAAGAAAATGAAAATAAAGAATCACATAGAATATTTTAAAACTTTAAAATTATTAAAAATTAAAAAAAAATGTGATGAGATATACCTGTCACAGAGCTCCCTGCTTGAACAGGTTCAGTGGCACCACCTGCAACGACCAAAATTTGGGAGGATATTAATTACTTCCCAAAAATATTTGTACTAAATATGAATAAATATGTAAAAGAAGACTTTAAAATTGATACAGCTTTGAGTTTTAAAAATATGATAAAATATACCAGCAATAGTGCCCCCTGCTTGAACAGGCGGTGACGGTTCAGTTGGGACTTCTGCAAATACCAATATTTTGGATCATTTGAATAATTTCCAAACACTTTTTGATATTTGTACTAAATTAGTTTATATATAAAACATCTAAAATAGTCCAATTTACATTTAATTTAATTAGATTATTCTTTTAGCGCTAGACCGACCAAAATAAAAATTAAGTTTAGTACTCACCTTTCGGACCTGTTGAACCTGCATAAAGAATTGTAAGAAAATAAATCAAAATCAAATAGCAATCAATTTAAATACATAAAAGTGATATTGCAATACTGCAAAGGTAAAACAGGATTCTCCTAAAATTATTTCAAAAACAGACTTTTAAAAGCTGAAAATTCCAAATGAGGAACTGTCTTTGTTACATGTATATACAACTTCTGCATTATGTTTTTCTAGAGAAACATTTGTGATAAAAGCTTATCTTGTTTCATGGAATTTTTTCTTGTGTAAATCAAATTAATGCAACTTGATTATCAATAAAAAATATAAACATTATAAGTATATTGACTTCTATGACGATTGATACTTTTCGTCGGCAAAAATAACTCCAAATACCATTTAGAATATAAGATGAATGTTTAAGCTCAATCGCAAACAAAACAATGTTTTGGCATTGCCCACAAAAAGTGGTTCCCTTAATCTGCGATCGAAGGCGTAGAAACTTCTACTGTTGAATTAGAAGTCTAAAGATCTCTGTCTATTGTGTTTTTTTGTTTACATCCCTCTCGAGAATTTTTCACTCATATGGAGACACAACAACTAGAAGGTGGAGAGCTGCATTTGTACTATACTCTGCACTGAGGGCCATGGAGCATTGAGGGATGTTTTTCCTGCCAGCATCTTTGTTTTATCAAATTAACATGATCTCCCAAATGCTAAAATACCTTTACTTATACCATTTTAACAAAATGCCTTAATGTAAAATTACCTGCATCTGATCCGAGAACCACGCTCTTCCTCCCCGCTCCCCGCTGAAATGCTGTGAACAAAGACAAACGTTTCAATTGTAGCATGAAAGTCAATTAAATAATAACAATAAAAATAAATAAATGCAAAACGTGATACTTTTATATCACTTCAATAAAATTGATTTTCTTACATTAAAAATAGCAGATTTTTTAGATTCCTTTACCTTTTAAAAATGTCGCATATTGGTATAATCTTTACCCTTAAGCTTTGTTTTATATATATATATATATATATATATATATATATATATATATATATATATATATATATATATATATATATTTAACTGATCTCTAGTGAAATGATTTGCTTTTACTGTCTTTCAATGAAAACTTTGATTTGACGTTTAAAAAGAATTTTACCATTAACATTTTTTAAAATTTTAAATCATATTAAAACTAAATTTTCTACAGATATTCGAACAAAAGGCCCATGGGCCACATTGCTCATCGCCTGAACACATGGGCTAGTTAAAATCCACAAATCAGCTCAGTATCGAAAAATCGAAATGTTTACTTGTTGGGGGAGTGGGGGTTTGAATTGCTTACTACTTGAGAATGTCACTGTATCAATAAAGCATACTTGTATAATTTTGCCATACTTGAGAAGAAGCGGTTTAAAGATTTTTCCTATATATTTCTATGTAAAGATTTGATTGCCTATTATAGCCACACCTTACCCCCAGGGGTCATGATATGAACAAGCTTGAATTATAACTCTACCTGAGGATGTTTCCATATTAATATCACCAATCATAGCTTTGCTGATCTTGAGAAGAAGATTTTAAAAAGATTTTTCCTATGTTTTACTTTGTAAAATTTTTATCAGCTATTGTGGTCCCGCCATATCATTGGGGGTCATGTTTTGAAAAGAATTGAATCTACACTACCTGAGGATGCTTCCACATGAGTTTTATTTTTCCTGGTCCATTGGATCTGGAGAAGATTTTTAAAAAAAAAATCCTATATATTCCTATGTAAAACTTTTACCAGCCATTTTGGCCCCGCCCTACCCCTGGATTTCTTCCCTGTCCTCATGATTTGAACAAACTTGAATCTACACTACCTGAGGATGCTTCCATATGAGTTTCATTTTTCCTGGTCCAATGGTTCTGAAGAAGATTTTTAAAACAATTTTCCTATATATTCTCATGTAAAACTTGGATCAGCCATTGTTGCACTGGCCTATCCCCGGGGGTCATGATTTGTACAAATTTGAAATTATTCTACCTAACGATGCTTCCACATACGTTTCATCTTTCCTAGCACAATGGTTCTGGAGAAGATTTTTAAAAGATGCCATTAATTTTTCATCAATTCATGATTATCTAAAGTTGGAACAGGGCTTGGCACTTTATGTGAACAAAGTTGAATCCCCTTTACCTAAGGATACTTTGTTGCAAGTTTGGTTGAAAGTGACACAGTGGTTCTTGAGAAGAAAATGAAAATGTGAAAAGTTTACGACGACAACGACAGAAAAGCTCACTTGAGCCTTTGGCTCAGGTGAGCTAAAAATAGATTGAAGTTATTCGAGTCAAACAATTGAAATATACATGTATATTCACATTAATAAATGAATTGGTAAACTTTGACAATCTAACATAAGCTACTTGAATAGCTGTTTGCAAGCTAGGTGTTATTAAGTATATTATGGAAACGTTTTTATTAATGGGGAAGACGCTAGAAACTGTATGTGAAACGAAAAGACATAGTAAATTTAGGCAATTATCTCGACGCTGTTTTTGACGTTTCAATATTGTTAGCTGTGTTTTTTGGTTGCTTTTTAAATTTGCTAACATGAATTACATTTAATCAAATGAAATGGAACTTTACATTTCAACAAAAAGTTTCTGAAAATATTTTCTTATAATGATAATGATATGATGTGGAGCTTTGTTGATGCATTTTCTGAATGACCTGCGTATTTATATACATGCATATAATAAATTGTCCAAGTTATAACATGAATGTAGTTAAATCAGTTGAAAAACACTGTTATTTGATCAAATGAGTCCTGTCTCTGTAAGAAACTTTCTGAACTCCTTCGTCTTCATCTTCACAGCACAAATAATTGCGTCATCGTGTAACACAAATACAAATATACTAGTACACTAAGATTCTTCCTTAGCACTTTTTAACATAACAATGGATTTGAATGTTAAGTTTTGGATAAACAAAGACACTGACTCTAACCATTGTTTAAAATGTATACTAAAAGAAAGAAGAAAAGGTTGTATGATTGTATTTTGCAATATTTTGTTTGCTAACGAACCTTCAGGTAAAAACTTAAACATGATTAAAAATGTGTAGCTTTAAACTCTAATTCTGATATTCTGATATGCGACATTTTACGAAATATTAATAGTTACTTAAATTCACTAGATTTATCCCGGTGAACTCGAAACAAGACACCAAAGAGTTTACCACGATGTTTCATATTTTGATACCACCACTTTCTCCTTCTATGCATCTGACCACACCTCTAAGTCGTCTGTTTTTTGTGGATTCGTTTAGTTTGTAACTTTTTTAAAACAAAATCTACCAGTGTTCTACTTACTTTTTAAAAACAAATGAATAGACGTACATGTATTAGTATTAGTATTAGTAAGGTTTCACGCTCTGATAAATATATATCTTATATAGAAGTAATAATAATAATGTAGTACTTTACCGCCAATTGGAACTGAAAAATAAAAAGAAGGTGCTGTGTGAATTTAAGTTCAAAACTTTTAACATTTAACTTTAATCAGTTATGTTTATGAAGTAATAATCGTACAAGATAATATGTTTACATATACAAATATATCTGTATATTTATATATATGTAAACACCGTTCATAAACAAATCTTTAATAGTGAAAAAAGAAATAAGTAACTAATCATTTTACATCAATTACATCGATATCATATCACAATATTTATAAATCTTATAGGCATGCGTTGCGAGAGAGAAGCATGGATGAGTGTGTTCACGTGACTTTCCTTTGACAATGTGAGCTCGAGTGAACAATAGCAAAAACTTACAGCCACCAAGATGCTTGTCGATGAAGCCCGGATTGATTGGTTGACCTGGCGGGGGGAACGGGGGTGCTGTGTAAACAATAAACTTTTAAACATTTGCTGAAGATGAATTTTCTACATAGCAAAATATCTGCAAGAACTTTACCCTTGGTTAAAGAAAAAAATATATATACTTAATACTTTTTTAAAAAATCAGTGAAAACAAATAAATTTTTAAAAGTCATAATCACTTTTTTGTATTTTTATTCACCAGTCTTTTAAATGACGGTGATCAATTCCTGAAATTTTCCCAATAGTAAGTTGTTGAACGAAGTATAAAAAATATGTATATTACCGAACGAAATAAAACTGAAAAATATTTTTATGATCAAGTACAAATGCCTCAGAACGCTGATATATTATATGCATCTACATACTGAATTCCAAGTTTTTCATGTTTACCATATATTGGGTTGCTTGTTTCTGATATCCTTTAAAGGAAAGTGAAGCTATTTCTGGGGAACATATATGTTCATTTTAATTACGTAAATGTTATTGCTTTCCATTAATTTTCAGTTTTGAAAAAAAATCACACAAAGAGATAACGTATAAACATACATGTATGTACTTCGATAATATTGAAAAGACTATTAAAAGAATAAAATTTGATTCTCAGAAGACACTCTTCTATGAAGCTTACAAATGTAAACATCTGTCCGACAAAAAGTCAATTGCAATTTGCCGCTAGTGTGTTTCAATCAATTCAGTCATATATTTTTAAGTTATATGATGCATTTGTTTTTTTTTTTAGATTGATGACAAAATCCCGTATTTACCTAACAGAAGATTGATAACAACAACCATCTGCTGTGCTTTGTTTAACATAGCCTTAAAGTGTTTTACTTCAGTACAATCTGAATAAAATTTCATGTGTATATTTTGCCAAATATAACAATTTTATTCTCAGTGTCTAATTTATAAAACGTTTGATTGAAGACAGTGCCGATGACGCAAAATGAGGCCAATGATCATGTTTGAGATGCATGATTGTTTGTCAGTTTTAAGGCGGCGTGGACTTGAACATAACAGTCCATGGAAAAGCAAAAGACTGTGTTAATATCAAGCTCAAGCACTTTCTTTTGTTAAGAAAACAACTGCAAATAAATGTGCATTATACTCACGTGGAGCTCCTCCACCTGGCAGTGGCGGAATTATTCCTCCTGGTGGAATAACACCTCCTGGCGGAATAATTCCTCCGGGTGCTCCACCTGTCATTGAAATAAATGAAAATAAATATAGTAAGCTCTTTAATACCTTAAAAACTCAACATATTTGTATGTGAATAAGGAATTACCTGCTCGTGGAATTGCTCCACATGTACAAGGTTCTACTTGTTTCCTGTCTGGCAAGGTTACGATCATTGATGTAAGTGGTGTCACAAATTGGTACTATAGGTGGAAAAACGTTTGAAAATAATTTAATATTACGATATTAGAGTATGTTTAGAAAGCATAATAAAAAAGAATAAAATGTTAAATGCCTTTTAAAATCAGACGAGTCCACATTTAATGTAAGATTTACTTTTAACTATAACTTTTTGTATCAGTAAGACTGAGATCCAAGGGGGGTCGTCTAAGTTACTGAGTATATGACGGGGAACCTTGTGTATAAATGAAAGTCTACCTTAAGAGCTTTTTTAATTATTTCGCCTTCTATCTGTAGTATTTCCTGAATGACATCTGTAGTTTCCCTTTTTCTCAGTAGTTGCTTAATGGTCAAGTAAGCCCATAGTTTCTCCATCATCCCAGGGTGACGTTGTCCAGGAGGCAATCCTTGGTTTTCAGAGGGAAGGATTTTACACTGATTCGGGGGGTAAGGTAAATTAAAAGTACCGTTGTACCTTTTGGCTGTAATTGCCATACCTTGCTGCAAAAGGTTGAGATCATTCACCTGGCCCGCAACGACGAGCTCTGTTCCTCCAAAGTAATTTTCAAAGTGTTTGTTAGTAACTGTAGTGTCGTATAAGGCACCATCCAGGTATTTGAAGTCAACATCTTCCAGAAGAATGCTTGAGATCTCCTCGTAGAATCCAGTAATTTGCAATGTTGCATCAGATTGTTCATATATTTTTCTTGCAAATCCAAAGTTATGTGCAGCAATTCTCTTCATAATACCATAGTCTGCTTCTTCTCCAAAAGCGAGGGTAAAGATAGGAATATTCCAGGCCGAGTTGGCGTTCACGATGTTTTCCAAAATTCTTTCTGGGTTTCTTTCGCCTATTGTAGGTTTTCCGTCGGTTAAGAAAATCATCATTGCAGGTCGATCGCCAACATGCTGTGTATTGAATTCCCTAAACCCATCAACAAAGGCGCGGTTAATATTCGTTCCTACAAAAAACTTTACAACCTTTAAAACAAATCATTTTAAAACAAGTTATGTTATCCTCTATTATAGTTATAACTTTCAATTTCAATATATATAGCAGTATTTAGGTATGTACAGTTATATTATTTGTTTCTCATCAATTGCTTAGACTTTTGTTTTCACAAACTTCACAAAGCTGCAAGAAATCATTAATTTGATGTTCTAAATTTCAAATCTAATACAGAAAATATGTAAAATTAACCAAAAGTATTTATTACACGTCCATTTACCTCCATACGGCATCTGACTTCTGACATACTGCTTGGCATCTGCAATAACATTAGGAGTGGCTGGTGCCAATCCCCTATTCATCCACCTAAATCCATCTCTTGCTTTCCAGGAATGAACGTTAGCCGAAAAAGAAATCATCAAAATTCTGTCCTCGGGTTTAACATCATCTAAAATCCTATAAAGGGCAGCCTGAAGTTGGCTCATTTTCCGACCTAACATTGAACCACTCTTGTCAAAGATCAAAACGATGTCTGTCGGTATGGGTGGCAAATTAGGAGCACTATAATGGACAAAGTAGCCGTCCATAACCTGTAATAATTCAAATGAAATCAGCAATTTATTGTGAAATATTAATGAAATGTGAAAACAACCTGTTGCCTAAATTTTACAAAATTAAAGAAGAAAACTCTATTACTATTTTATTTTCATTTTTGATTAAGATAAAAGCATCAGTTTTGTCAACGACATGTATATTTGATAAGTAATGAATTTACAAGTTCATAGCAGTTGGCAATCAAAATGACAACCTAATTTGGTTATATCTGTTCATATTGAAAGATAAATTCTTTAAAGACGAAAGTCAAAAAGAGCTTCCCGAACATTTCTTACTTACCAGAATTTCGCCAGCATCAAGGGATCTTTCGATGTCATATTGGACGATAAATTTACCGGATAGCCCATACTCAGAAAGTTCTACCTGTTGTCTAAGTGTGGGTTGGTATGTCACTATTGCTTGGTTTCCGGTTGGTAAGAATTCTACAGTTGCCAAATCATTGGTGCCTGAAAAATAAAGAAACAAGGACTTGTTTTTTTTTAACCTGAATCATAATCAATATGAATTTATAATTTAATTTACCCTTTTTGAAATGAGAGAGTTAAAAAAATCTTCTGGTCCATTTGTTATTTAAATTTTACTCTGAAATCGTCGCTTTGAAAAGACATTTACTGTCACAAAACAAAAAAAAATTTAATACTATTAAGATAAAATGTATTTTTTGGGGGGACATAAGATACTCCATGTCCCCATGTTGCTGACAGTTCAACAATATGTCCACATACAACTACAATTAAATACCTTGGGTAAATAAGGCTTTTGCAATTACTATACACATGTAACCTACACGTTTAAATATGTTTAACATTGTTTAACACGGATAACATTCTTTCAAATAGCGACATTATCTGTTGAAAAAGTCATACTTTTCTGTAGTGTTTTAGCTACAAAAAAATACTATTCTGTAGCCGTGATATAATCTTCAGATTTATACATCTCACTGCAAATAAAAGCCGTAGTGTATCATATTCTTAATTCCGGTATTCAAAATGCATAATTATGTATTAAACCTATAAAAACGATATAGGGTGAATTCACCATGCATCGGACACATACCTTGCTTCGGACAACTTTAGACAATAAATTCTCTTTCAACTTAAGAGTTCCGTGTATTTATTTGTTTCTGTCCAGAAGCTGAAGATTTAAATTTTTTAATGATACCGATTGTTATTATCATGTTGTGATAAAAATATTCCGAGAATGGCCTTGAACTTACGTCATATTTTACATCATCAAAGGGGAATAACCAGAAATTTATGATTTTTCGATTTTTAGAGTTATCGTTCTTAAAATTCGACTTCAGCGGAACGAGTCAGACTTTGGTAAATAAAGTCAAAGATTGGTAATTTTACATAAATTTTAAAGAAATTTCACTTCAATGTTCGTATAATTCTTTATAGAACTGGTTTTCACTAGTATGTTCATTTCTCCGTACATCGGACACAAATTAACCATGCATCGGACACTTTCCGATGCAATGGTAAGTACTACCATTTTCATACAGAACCCATCTGATAGCTGTTTTTTGCGGAAAAGGAAAATAAAAACTCTATATTTTCAGTCAAAATACAAGTTATCGATATAAGACGTCTGCAATTTGACTCAATTTATTTCTACAAACCAGAGTATGATAAACCATGAAAAAAAGGGCGCGAATTACCGCATTATAAGCACTTTGAAGCATTTCTAAGGCAGACTGAGGTCTCTTGAATCGTTCTACATTTGTGCAATGATATCGTCAATGAAATTTAAGTTGAGGGTTATTTCTTCGATAAAAGATAAAAATATATTCATATCAAGCATTTTAAAGCACTTTGATAAAGGTATGATATTTTTCTGGTCAAAATACCGTCTGTCCGATGCATGGTAAACAATGTCCGATCCATGGTGAATTTTGAGTTATCACTAAAAACTCGATTTTTGATGATATTTTCTCAATAAAGGGCATATAATTATGTCCCAAAATAGTATTTTAATTACAAACTAAATGTTAAACTCCATTTTGATAATTTTCCGTCTGTAGCGATATCGCTAGAACTTGCTGAAGTACAAGGGTATCCGATGCATGGTGAATTCACCCTAAATTAGTTTTCTTTCTCTTAAATTTTCTACATAAAGATTCAAAAAATCTTCAACACTCAAAACTTCATAGAGTTAAAATTTTCCAGGGTGAGCTTGAATCTTGAGGTTGAAGTAAAAATAATCTCTCGTGTAATTTTCCAATTAAGGTCAGACGACAACGTTCCTCAAAAATGTTAAAATTTCTAAAGATTTTGATTTGAAAATGAATGCAAAAATGTATATTCTAGGAAAGTGCCGTCTAATTTAGGACAATAATAACTCTAGAACTTGTATTTATTTAAACATTTCTCAGAAACTACCTGACTGATGCCAGCTGACTTACCCAATGGGCCCTCTGTTAATATATCCGTTTGCAGAGGTGGTATTTTGATTGGGTTAATTTTCTGAGACTCTGTGATCATCACACTTATAAGGAAGTCTTCGATTGGCATGCCAGGACTCAAGAAGATCACGTGATTATAAAATCCCTTTACCCTTCTCAGGAGTTCTCTGTATGTTAACTCGAACTTCACCTCCTCGAAAGCAGCAACATTAAGTTGAACTTGGAAGCTGTTTGTGCTTCTTGGCCTATTATTATTATTATAGAAAAGATTCTTAGGAAAGAGGTGTAGCAAATTATTAAAAGTGGTTATATTTCAGACAATTTTAACAAACGAACTGTAAAATTGAATGATATACTGTAAACCAACTTTTAGTCGCGTGCGGGAAATTTTCGCGATGTTCGCGATCGAGAGCTTTGTCATCGCGAATATTTCTCGCCGTTAACCGGTCCTTAAAGTCTCTGTGTTAATTAATAAGAAATCCAAAATCGGCTTGATCGCGAAAATTAATCGTCGTGAACTAGTTTAACCCTGTGAATCGCGAAATAAAGTCGTCGCGAATAAAAGTTGCTTTACAGTATTACATGTTTATATTTGATTGTCCACTAGGTTTTGTTGAATATTTGTACATAACTATCGTTCTGTGAAGGAATTCATGATAAATTATAAATATTACATTAATAGATATTCCTGAAATTCTTTAAGATCAAAAGATTGAAGAAAATATGACCTAAAAATGTCTTTAAACCGGATACATATTGGATTTTACGTTCCTTTTGTGATAAACAACATAGGAAATTAGTATAAGGTCCTATAATGATTCGCAACAATAAAGCAAAAAAAAAAGTAATAACGTTTTATGTCAATTTTGGTAAATGGGAATCTTTACTTACCTTGTAACTATGTGCCCTGCAGTTCTGCCCTGCATCTGGGCTTCCTCGAATTCTCGACGAGCAATCTCTCTTTCTTTTATTCTACCAAGATATTCTTTACCCTTGACGATCCTAAATAAGTAAGTTTTCTATTACTGACAAGTAATTTTTCTAAATTATCAAATTGTTATGTTACATAGAGTAAAGAAATCTCTGTACATCGTATAAACAAGTTATCTATATTTCATTTGAATATAATAAGACCCTTTTATTTAGTTTTTGCACTTGTATTGCCACTTAATTTCCCATGAAGCTTTTTTGAGGGGTAATAACATTTATATGAAAAGTGAACATGACATGTATAAATAAAATACCCTATGTTCAGTTCGATGGATTGTGATTGAAATATTTTTGTGTTCCTGGCATGATTTAGAGATAATAAAATGGCATATGCTTCGGGGGTTAATATGAATACAATCCTACGTGATTGATAAGAAAAACGATAAAAGCGCCATTACTTTAATTAAGCAAATTATTTGAATGTTATTGCGTACAATACATTCTTCTTAAAATAAATACATGAATATTATTTTTACAGAGTTCAAAATTCACAGGATTAAATTATTGAAAATTGACTAAAAGTATACTGAAATGTGACTGAATGACAAAAGCTCCTAACTTTTCTGTCTACAAAGACAAAGACAAACAATTTCTAGGTACAAGTACTAAGGCACGCATATATCATACCACTATTTACTGGCTATGAGGACAATAGGTTTATCGTCCCCCATATTTCCCGAGGCGCAACCGAGGGAAATAGTTTGCTGTCCAGGGGGACGATAAACTTGCTATTGTCCGAATAGTCTGTAAATAGGTGTTTTATTATACCGATGCTGGCTGTACTTCTGAAACGTCATAATATATACGTCACAATCCGTGTAAAATCAGAAGTTTTCGGGATGAAAAGCGAGGGAAACAGAATGCTGCCGGTGAATAGTTTGATGACTATTTCACCATGGGCAGATAGCACAAAAACTATTTCACGGTAGGGGCTGTTTGGAAAAGATAGCATGTTTATTCGTCATATTTTATATAGAACAAATTCACAGAGGTATATATATATATATATATATATATATATATATATATATATATATATATATATATATATATATATATATATATATATATATATATATATCCTTTAAAACAAGTGTCAAATTCTAAACAGAACTAACATGCTTGCATCTTCTGATATTAATTAAACCCTTTCAGTGCAATATGTTTGGCAAGTCTTTGAAATGAAATATTTGGAGATAATTCTTAAGTATTCGACCTCAAAAGTCTATTAAGGACGTTCGATCCTGAGATTTTGAGCGTAATTTGGTCAGGTCCTTTATTTATAAAATTCTGCATCATTTTTTAAGTTCTAACATTAAATCTGAATTCTACGGTGCAAATTTAACTATATTCAATGAAAAAACCGCGATTAAACTCTATTCAAGTAGAATTAAGATAGGGACTATATTTTGTGGCGGAAGGTTTTTTAGACGACAATGATCAGTTTTTCCATTTTGAACTATAACAGCACTGTTAATTTTGGATTCATATTTTTCCATCCTGGTTGCACAAAAAGCCGTTTCTTGCAGTTAAATGTGTTATGCTGGTTCTGAAATATCTATTAAATTATTTCTTATGAATTCTATCAACAAAGTGTGACTAATATAGTAAACATATTCTGAAAATCCGGGGGAAAATTGAGCCAATTTTAACGTAAAATTGACACTTTTTTAGTAATATCTGAAAATTAATATCATATACCCCCGCTTTTGATGTTCTTTTCTAAATATTCAAGATAAATTTGGCCTATTTGCTTAAAATCTGAAAAAAAAATTAAGACTTTAAAATAATTTTCTTGCTAATTAAATTTTCAATGCCAGAAAAATCACTTTTTATTAGTGCAGAAAGGTGAAATAATTGATTATGCGAAGCAATTCATAACTTTTTTTAGTCACAATTTTTAAGTGTATTTTTTAAAACAAACTTAGAGTTCATTTTGTTTCATGCTTTAATTGGATGAAAATATTGGAGGGAAAACGTCAAAAATATAGTTTTTGATTAAGACACAACTTTCAGTGCAAAAAGGTCATATTAAATGTACTGTAGCACCAAAAGAAGCGTATTGACCCCCATTTTTTGATTTGAATTTTACTTAAGCTATGTATGTAGAAAAACTAAAAATATACTTGGCAAAAAAGTTTAAGACTTTAAATATCAGGATCGAACGTCGTTAAACATTACAAAACAGGAGCAGTGTAAAATACCGTGCGGACCTCTGAAACGTCAGAGATGCGATCAGGTGCCACAAAATAGTGAGCATACCATGTTACAACGCCGTATTCTCCTTGTCAGGATCGAAAAATAACGGGAAAAATCTGTGGACAACTAAGTGTGTAAATAATGGCCTAACAATTAGTATAAAAAAATCAGTCGGCATTTGATTTAATGATTAATTGTATTTACTGACAAGGACATTGTATCAACCATAGAACGTATAAAATGATGGCTTAAAAAGAGACTTCTGATATTCTTGCTTGATCTATTGAACTTCAACTTCATTAAACATTTAACAGAAGCTAAAAGAAAGCCTTACAATTTGAAAGAAGAAATAAAGGCCTCCTCTGGTAAGTCCATGTCAAACCGAAGATCTGCTGGCCAGCTATCATTGTTTGATATTTTACTTGTGACTATCGTCCGGGAGAAACGGTAGTCAATCTCTGATACTACATGAAGGTAAGTAATCTATGAAAATATATATATATATATGGAAGTTCATCATAAGTATAACATGTATATAAAGCTTATAAATAGCAAGCCATTGGAAATCTTAATATCCCGAAATTCATTTCAAAGGTTAAAATCAAGAAAACAAGAGTACAAAATTGTTATTGTCTTGATTGAATGGAAAAAAAATGTTAAAGTCTTGATTTAAAAAGATAAGACTTATCTGAATTTATTAAAATAGCAATGTACATATTTATAAATACAGTGATAAAGATAGAAGAAAAAGATATGCCATACCCTATATGCATATGTTATAGTCCATAATATGGGTAATACAAAAAGTATACCCAGTAACTTCTTCATGTTTCTGAATTCACACTAACAAACCTTGTGTATTTTTTTAAATATATAAACAAGACACAAGATTGCGAAACAAAGTGGATTTTGATTGGTTGATGCGACAGGAATTTCAAATTTTGACGGACCTCATATGTTAACATGACCGTGTGTATCGAAGATTCCTCGAAGGGATAATGCATCATAGGATTCCAGAATGATTATCATATTTTTACATAAAGTACAAAAACGTGATTATCTGCATATTTAAGGATCTTGATCAATCTGATGGATATTGTTATAACAAACGAGCATGGTTTGTGTTAAGATGACTTTTGATATTCGATGTTCATTTCAGGAGAAGTATTTTAAAATTAACAATGTCCTTTATATTAATTTAAGTCGGATAGGTCAAATACATTTACAAGAAATCAAGAAACACATGTTGCAATTATGATGTATTAAAAAGGTTAATGAATGGCTTAAAATGTCAATTTTTACCGATATTAAGGCAATGTCCCTTGGGATACTGCCCCTGTTCTTTTTTTTTTTTTTTTAGCGAGGGTCATTGTGGTACATAACTATATACATTATGTAGGTAGACAAAAAAATTGTCTACTTGTGATTTCTGAAAATAATGAAGTTAAATTGCAACAACTTCAATTTTGAAAACAGAAGGCTTTTGTTGTTGAAAACGTAATATTTGTTTTATGCGTTTTAGTACGTGATTAAAATGGTCATGCGTCATTCTGTCATTGAAATGTCGTAAATGATTTATAAAATGTGCAGCGATAAAACAAATAAATACGACAAGCCTATATCAGTGTATTTTCGCTGTAATAAAAATAAATTTACCTTCTGAATGCATATGATGTATATTTGCTTGTTTGCTTTTTTTAATATAAGGATCATGCACATATTGTTATCAACAGCAAAGTAGATCAATAAGAGGGGATAACTTTCCTCTGCATATCGGTACTTTTGTTTTGAACATTTTTTTTTGAACATATCATATAAGAGATTTATTGATTTAATGTTTGACCATTTTCTGCTTGGCTACTTTCTTTATGTCTCTCACCCTTCACTTCCTTTTTTGAAATTAGTTGATATTCATTGTCTATTTTTTAAATATAAATTCTGAAATAATTAGCATTTGCTCTGCATTTCTAAAGTCTTTTGAAAAGTATTGGATTTGCTGTAAAATTTAAACTTTAATTTACATTTTATCTTACTTCATTAATACTACTCTGTCATGTTTATTAAAATTATATTTTTCGAAAATATTGAGAGGTTCATGTGGCATAATGATTGTCGAAATATAGATTAAAGTTTGTGACCTCATGGAACTTTATTTTAAATTGTATAATAGACCTTTAAAACTTTAAATGGAAAAGATGAAAAAAAGATCAATCTAGCAGATGTGTAGATAAACACTGAATTGTCGACGATTTTTTTTCTTCATTTTTCAATTATTACAAGGAGCACACGGCGGATGTAACCGTTCGGGAATGCTCACTCCTCCATGGACCTGATCCCACCTCTGATGTTCTGGAGGCCCGTGTTGGGGGGGGGGGGTTAATTAATAAAAGGTGTGGCAAGAGTTAGAATTAAGTACGTAATTTTACTTTCATCAAAAAATTTTTTCAATGCAGTAAAAAGTCAGAATACTGAAAGCGCAAAAACTGAAAAGTGTTATAATGGAATCAAAAATTAAGACAGTCTTCCCTACCAGTCTATTGCATAAGCACAGTTGGAGCCAGGATTCTTCATTTTATACGTGTTTTACATAAAATGTGTTCCTTAAATGAAGTTTTTATAAGGAGTGCAATAGACGCTGAAATAGGATATCAGCTAAAATATGTACTTTAGCAATGTCTTGTACTTCTAAGCAGAAGATTGATGGACTGTTGTTCTTTTTATTGACTGCCGGTTTCCACTGTCTATTAAGGTGGCAATTAATAAAAGAGACATGGTTTGAATCAGAACTGTTTATGTTTGGTTGATAAACAAAAGACAAGAGGCTCTTGGGCCTTAAGGTCAAAATCGAGTACATAAAAAATGCCTACAGATAAATCAAATTTGAGAAATAAATTCCGTTAATGATGCTGTATAACTTAAGGTGGCCAAATAAGGTGTTTCGGATCATAGTTTGATCGTAAACAAGATGAAAAAACCATATTTCACACTGTCAATTTCAATGAAAAATTAAGAAAACCAGTCATCAATTTGGTCATTTTTCATATTCGACATGTATGAATTTATCCAGATTGCCTACAGTCTTTAAGAAAACGGTGATTTGTATGGTCATGGCCTCTTTTTTTTTAGATATTGTTAAATTTTATATCAGGATTACTTATCATTTGATTACAAATTGAATGCCATGAAAAACTCTATTTTCTACAAAATTCTGCTAAAGTTGAAAAGTACGGGAAAAAGAAAGTTGAAATTGATTATGACGTCATAACGGATCTGGCACCAAAAAAAAGTCATTTACTGTAAAATCACATATTTTCGAGGGGTCAAATTTTCGTGGTTTGAGAAAAAAAGAGGGCGTAGGGATATAATTTGCGTATGAAGAATTGTTTACTTGTAATGTCCGTGAAAAATTACTTTACATAGTGGACATAAATTCGTGGGTCTCTTCAAACCTAAAAAACAACGTAAAACAACGAAAATTAAAACCCCGCGAAAATTAGTGATTTCTCAGTACTAGATCTTAACCTTAAACAAGTTAAATGGCTTTGATTTGGAAATGATTAGACACATTTTTGATATATGTAGCTTGAATTGCAAACGTTATTTTAATGTATATTGCATTTATCGTCTCGGTGAATATTTTATTTCTTTTAATTTTATTTATGGTCGATACAATGACCTGTCAGCATATATAATTTGTCATTAAGTCAGATGCTGACTGACGTTTTTCATACTCATGGTAGGCCATTATACGCATGCACACTGAATTGACGAGGGATTTTTCCGTTATTTCCCGATCATGACAAAGAAGTTGTTCCAACTTTGTATCTTTACATAGACTTTTGAGCTTGAGTACGAAATATTATCTCCATATATTTCATGCATTAATCATATCCTGGGAATCATGCGTTATCGAAGACGATATATATATTTATTTATACATTTTTCACCTATAGAAAAATTACTCTTATTATGAATTGTAGTCCCTTTCCTAAATATAAACAATTTTAAAATGTTTGATTTTTTTTCTCGAGTACTTTTTTTTATTAATCCCAGTTGCCCATGAATTAAGTGTACTTGAAATCTTGTACATTTTTCTATTTAACTTTTCGCGAAGAAAAATGTTTTAATTATTTACCGATTATCAAGACTTTTCCCAAAAGCCACACGTGACAGTTCAATGATGATTGTAAAGTAAATAATTAATTGTGTGCTTTAATCACGACACAAGTATGATTTTAATAGGCGGAAAAATAAAGAAAAAGTTAATACATCGTACACATGGAAAGAGTTACATATTTGAATAGACACAAAAGAAATATTGAAGTATAAAGACAAAATTCTAGCATGTGGAGTCTTTATTTTCATAAAAATAAAGAAAGATTTCTATTTCAAATATTTCAAATAGGTCCAATTAGGCAATAGGCTTGTATTCGTAAAATGTTTACAAAGTGATCTAGTTATGAACACTTATCCATTGGCAGGCGACTGATCAATTACAAAAGTTCTCCCCTACCTATAAATAACCTTTGTACATGTAAATAAAGACGTCAAAGAGAATTCATTACGATGCATTTAATACTACATCAATCTATTCAACGTAAGTAGTGTAATAGTTTTTAGAGAACACTTAATTTTTATTTGTTTCCTCTTCGTCAAATAGCGTCTCAAAATTTGGTGAAAAACAACGTTTTAGTTCATTTTTGATAGAAAGAATTATTTTAGAGAAGAAAAATTGTCAATTGAACAGAAGGATAGTCTAAAAATGAGTTGATGTTATGTGTATTCAAATGCAAGATAACTGCCAAAATTGCATCCATGAAAAAGTACAAAAAGGTTAATAGAAGAAACTATAATTTCTCTGTTGTTTCAAAAAATGCCTAGCACGAATGCAAAAATATACATAAGTCATATTGAAATAAACTGATTATATATGATTATCACTTCGACAAATGGTCCCATGGCAATTTGTCTAGAACAGAGAAATAACGTCATAAAGATGTGATGTCGCAGACGGTGAGCGTCGTCGCAGATTTCTTTCGCAGGTGTTTTATGTTTTGACACGTCTAGCTTAGAAATTATCGTGGTTCTTGAACATTGTAATAATAAATTATTTTCATTTATTTATATATTTTATTCTGATTTTTTCACGTTGGATCTTCTAGTCCACTGGTATTGATTTAAATGTAGGCCTATTTAGAATTTTATTTGAGACCCGTTTCTTGCTACATCTAGCAAAATCGCTATATACGTCTCTGATCTATTCAATTCCTACATGTACAGAGGCTTAGACAAAGTGATTTTCAAAATAATTGAATATTGAAAAGCAAATTCAAATTTTGATATACCAGTATGGACAAAATTGAAGTTAAGGTGTAAGACACGGGCATTTTATCAAATATTGGAAAGGAAATGACCGAATATGATGCCAACTGATTTGAGATGCTTTTGATACCTTTTGTTGTGCTTTGCAATTCTCATGAGAAGTTTTCCTTCGCCTGGTAAGTTAAGGTTTTTACCGAATACATCAATTACACTTCAGTTTTTTTTTTATATTTTATCTTTACTGTACCTATCAACAATATTCTTTAAATGAATGAAGAATATGGAAATAACGAACAGTATTCAGTATCAAAGTCCATAAACAATACAAAATAAGAACAGAGCAAACACAGACCTCCGAAACATCAGAGGTGGGATCAGGTGGCATGGAAAAGTGAGCATTCCCTGCTGACCGGTCACACCCGCCGTGTGCTCTTTGTCATGATCAGGAAATAAGGGAAAAATCCGTTGTCAATTCAGTGCATAAATAATGGACTAACAATTGGTATGAAAAAAGTCAGTCAGCATTTGACTCAATGATAAATTGTATTTGCTGACATGGTCAATG